GGCTAGAGCTGAGAGTGAAGTATCCAGATGATATGAAGTGAGGGGAGATGCATAAGAACACCCAAGCTTTCAGATAGCACCCATTTGACCTAGCCTTGATGACCTGATAATCAGAATTCAACTAGAGGATGATTAAAAAACAATTATAAAGAAAACAAGTGTAAATTGCTACAATTTGATGAACTTGACCTATACTTATAGATGTAGTAGCTCAAAATACCAACTGAGAGGGAAGGAGTTTTCACATCAAGTATCAATCTTACCCTTTCTGTACATAGAGTAGATAGAGATGGGCAATTTAGACATTGGCTCCCTAAAATGGGAGGGGCTATAAAGGTATGAAATGACTGGTTTACAAGTTTTCAAGAGGAAATTTAGTTTCAGAGTGTGCGGGGGAATCCACACTGAATAGTTTCCATCTTGTCTAGAAGAATCTGGTAAAAGGAGATGGGGATAAGATTATGACTCAATAGTAATTGTTGTCATTACTAATTGCGACTGTCCTAACTGTAAAGGTAGAAGTTTTGTAACAAAGAGCAGGGAGTACTTAATCTTACAGTCCAGGAATAGAGGACCCTAGAATCATCAAGGAAGAAGAGAATGAGTGGAATGCGGGACCCTATCCAGAAAAGCAGCAACACCAGAGATGGAGGCAGAGATGAGGACATGGCGGGAGGAAGCAGCTGAGGACTCTAGACTCATGGAAAGAGAAAGACTGTGTGCTGGTGGCCAGGAGGCTGGTTTGCAGAATGTGCCCTTTGGCTATTTAAATGATTAGATCTTCCTAAGTGCACATCCCACCTCCACAAAAAACAAACAAACAAACCCAGAGGGAATAGAAACAAACTCTGTTGAATGATGATGCACAGAGTAGATTGTAATCATTGCAATTAAACAATGAGTGTAAAAACTGAGAATGAGGGTCCAGCCAAGTGGATATCTATTTTAGAGGGACACAATTCAATCTATGACATGTACCATCTTCATGTACCAACTTCAACAACTCATGGTGGTTTTATCTGCACATAACAGAGAGACACTGCCCAGTCCTGCCTCATCCTCACAGTGCATACTGTTTGAGCTCATTGTTATAGCCTTCTTATCCATGTATAACATGGAAGGTCTCCCTCACTTAGGCTGCTTTCCTAAACATGATTTTCTTTCCCAGTGATTCGTCTTTCCTGATGATGGGTCCATATTAAGAAAGATGAAGTCTCACCATCTCAGTTTCTACAACACTCTGACTGTACTTTCCCTAAGACAGATTTTTTTCTCCCGTTCTTCTAGAAGTCCATGGTATATTCCATACTCACTGCCAACACCACAATTTTAATGTGTCGATGCTTTTGTCATCCTTTTTCGTTGTCCATCTTTCACATGTAAATAAGGCCATTGAAAAGAACACACATTATCACTAAATATTAAAACTTAGTAACTAACCCCCCACCCCTCGTTTATTTTTTTTTTAGAGAGTGTGCTGGCTCCGTATGATAAGCACTGGACTGCTAACCACAAAGTCGGTGGCTCAAGTCCACCAGCAGCCCTGAGGGAGCAAGATGAGGCTTTCTGCTTCCACAAAGATGTACAATCAGAGAACACCTATACAGGGTGGCTATGAGTCAGCGCTTAACAATAACACCACCAACAGCCCCTTTTGGGTAGCTTATACCCCTTCAAGTGCTGAAGACTCTGAATGTCTAACTCAATTTCTACCTTGTATCTTGTTGTTGTTAGGTGCCATCGAGTTGGTGCCGACTTATAGCGACCTTATGCACAGCAGAACAAAATACTGCCCAATCCTGGGCCAACCTCACTACTGTTGCCACACTTGAGTCCATTGATGCTGCCCTTGGCCAATCCATCTTGTTGGAGGTCTTCCTCATTTTCTCTGACCCTCCAGCTTACCAAACATGATATCCTTCTCCAGCAACTGGTCCCTCCTGACAATATGTCCAAAGTGTAAGAGACGAAGTTTGGCCATCTTGGCCTTCAAGGAGCACTCTGGCTGTACTTCTTCCAACATAGATCTGTTGGTTCTATGGGCAGAAAAAGAACTAAAATTGTTTTTCTTGCAGCAGATGGGACAAGGAAATTAGATTCTTTGTTCTGTGGTCCCACCCTGTCCACCAGCCCTAGAGTTCCACACTTCAGTGTCTATTTAGTTTGCTTCCTTCCCCAGCAGATACCAGGTGTATCCAAAACACCCTGTCTCCCTCCCCTTGGCTTATCTGGTTCATACACACCTCATGTTGTCGTTAGGTGCTGTAGCATTGGTACTGACCCATAGCAACTTACAACAGAACAAAGCACTGACTTCACAATATGATTGAGTTCAGTGCTGCTCTCACTGTGACAAACCATCTCATTGGAGGTCTTCCTCTTTTTTGTTGACCCTCCACTTTATCAAGCATGATGTCCTTCTCCAGGGACTGGTCCTTCCTGAAAGCATGTCCAAAGTATAAGAAATAAGTTTCACCATCCTGGCTTTTAAGAAGCATTCTGACTGCCCTTCTTCCAACACAGATTTGTTTGTTCTTCTGGCAGTCCATGATACTTCTAATATTCTTCTCCAAGACCATAACTCCAATGCATCAATTCTTCGTCTCTTATACTTTGGACATATTGTCAGGAGGGACCAGTTGCTGGAGACAGGTATCATGTTTGGTAAGCTGGAGGGTCAGAGAAAATGAGGAAGACCTCCAACAAGATGGATTGGCCAAGGGCAGCATCAATGGACTCAAGTGTGGCAACAATGGACGTCCTTATTCACTGTCCAATTTCACATATGAGTCCTGGTGTGGTGCTGTAGGTTAATGCACTGTACTGCAAAGTCAGTTTGAACCACAAGATCAGCTGTTCGAGCTCACTAGCCGCTCCTTGGAAACCCTAAACAGAGTTACTATGGGTCACAACCAACTCGACAGCACTTACAACAACAACAATAAATCGAATGAAGACACTATAGCTTAGGTGGTTGTTGTTAAGTGCCATCAAGTTGGTTCCGACCCACAGCAACCCTTATAGGGTTTTCCAAGGGAAGGCTGGTGAGTTTGAACCACTGACCTTTTGGTTCAAACCGCGTCCTACAGAGCCACATCAGGACTCCATTAGGTATACCTTAGTCCTGAAACTGACATCTT